TTTTTTTAGTTTTTTTTTTAATGTTTTATTGTGAATTATGTGATAGTTTACATGGGAGAACATTAGCTTTACATTCATCCTATCGTATATGTTTCTTGTCTTCTTAATGACTTTTTGTTTTCTTCCTGTATGTTGTTCTTGATGTCATCCCATAACTCTTCTGGTCTTCAGTCTTTAGTGTTTAATGTATCACATCTGTTCTTCAGATGATCTGTAAATTCAGGTGGGATATATTCAAGGTCATATTTTGGTTCTTGTGGACTTGTTTTTCAGCTTAAGTTTGAATTTGCATGTGAGCAATTGATGAGGTCCGAGTGTATAAATAATCATCTCTTATGCTGTCTAAAGAAGGTATTTGAAATGAACAAATCATTGATTTTGCAGAATTCTGTCATATGATCTCCAGCATCATTTCTATCATTAAGGCCATATTTTCCAACTACTGATCCTTCCTGTTTGTTCCCAACCTTTGCATTCCAATCACCAGTAATGATCAATACATCTTGATTGCCTGTTTGATGAATTTCAGATTGAAGAAGTTGGTAGAATTCTTCTATTTCATCTCCACTGCCTTTAGTGGTTGGTGCGTAAATTTGAATAAGAGTGGTATTAACTGGTCTTCCCTATAGGCACATGGATATTATCCTATCACAGACAGCGTTGTACCTCAAGACTGATCTGGATATGTTCATTTTGACAGTGCATGCAACACCATTCCTCTTCAATTTGTTATTCCTGGCATAGTAAACCTTGTGGTTGTCAGATTCAAAATGGGCAATACCAGTCCATTTCAGCTCACTAATGAGTAAGATATTGATGTTTATGCATTCCAGTTCAATTTTTGACAATTTCCAATTTTCCTAGATTCATAGTTAATATATTCCATGTTCCGATTATTAATGGATGTTTACAGGTGTTTCTCCTCATTTGAGTTTTTCTCCATCAGCACATGAAGGTCCCACAGGCTTTACTCCATTCACGTCGTCACAGTCAACTCTAATTTGATGAGGCAGTTGTTCCCCAGTTGCATTTTGAGTTCCTTCCAACCTGAGGGGTTCATTATCCAACACTGTATTTCTCTGCTATTCATAAGGTTTTCAGTGACTAAATATTCAGAAGTATTTTGTCACACCTTCCTAGTCTGTCTTCATCTAGAAACTCATCTGAAACCTTTCCACCATGGGTGACCCTGCTGATATTTAAAATACTGGTGGCATAGCTTCCAGAATCACAGCAACTCATAAGCCACCATAGTATGACAAACTGACAGATGAGTGGTGGGCCTTGACTTGGGCTTACTTATATACTAGCTAATTTGTGCTGATTGTTGGCAGTTCCTCGTCATGTGAGTCTTTCCATAGGACTGCTTGACAAGGTACTTTTCCAGTGCAAGTGAACTAAGAGAGAGCAAGGAGGAAACCACAATGCTTTGTGTGACACAGTCTTGCAAGTTATAAATGATCACTTCTGCCATGTTTTATTTTTAAAAAGTGAGTCACTTGCTCTAGTCCATACTCAAAGAAGAAGTATCAAGTATTTTGTGGGCATATTTTAAAATCACCATACAAGGAATGGTGGAGTCCTGGTATGGCGCTCTAGGATAAGCACTGGACTGATTTGATTTGAACCCAAGGTTGACAGTTCAAACTCACCAGTCACTCTTTGGAAACCCTATACAGGGTTGCTATGAGTCAGACCCTACTCTACAGCACTTACCAACAACAACATAGAAGGAATAGTATAAGCTAGCTATTGCTGCACTTTAGTAGCAGGAAACCTCTAATAATTAGTTAGTATTGGCTGTTGGTGTGGCGCTGTAGAATAACAACTGGACTGCTTACTTCAGGGTCAGCAGATCAAAACCACCAGCTGCTGTCTAGGGTCTCCATGAGTCAGAATTGACTTGACAGCACTTAAACAATAGCATTGACTACTGCCACTATTACACTGATTGACATTTTAAGTAAAGTGAGAACCAGGAGATTAAAAGAGTGTATCATTCAGAGAAGAGGTAATCTAGGGAGCAGTAATTCCAGCTCTTTTCTTTTGTCGAGACATCTCCATATTCTTTGATAATCGAGAACAACTAATTAGGATGAAGGACTGGATAGATATGCCATTTAAAATGTTCAAAATGTCAAATGCCAAACATGCATGCTTGTTTGTGTTGTAAGCATTTGAAATACCCTTTGAGAGCTAATATTAAAAAATCCATTGTCATTGATTCTGCCAACTCATAGTGACCCTATAGGACAGAATAGAATTGCCTCACAGGGTTTCCAAGACTGTAATCTTTATGGAAGCAGACTCTCACATCTTTCTGCTGTGGAACAGCTGGTAAGTTAGAACTGACTGTCTCTCGGTTAGCAGCCGAGTGTTTAACCGTTGCATGTTGTTAACTGCCATTGAGTTGGTTTCAACTCATAGTGACCCTGTATAGGGTTTTTAAGATGCAGCTGGTGGATATGAACCGCAAACACAGCAGTTCAAACCATCTTTGCAGTCCAGTGCATTATCCTGCAGTGCCACACCAGAACTCTGGGCTCAGTGATTTGTGTTATAAAATGAAATTACCCTCAAGATACAAAAAAGAAAACCCTTTAAATGGTACCTTATATAGAAACCATTGTATAAGACACATAAAAAATGGAACTACTCTTGTTAAAGAGAGCTGGACCCACAATCCCACGGACTCAGCATCCATTTGAGCCTCTAATTAGATTGGTGCTAGAGATTCAAGGAGCATAACTTGACAACTACACCATACCATCCGACCTTGTTTCCTGCTTAATTCACAAAAGTCTGTTAATATATCAGCCAAGCTCAGGAAGATAGCCACAAAAATCGTAGGTCACCAGATAGCAGACTGATTTGTGATGCTCTCTTTTGTGTAAGAGTCAGTGAAAAACCATTGTGGTTTGGGGAAGGAATTGGTGATTGACCAGCCATGGATTTCTGTAGAATATTTTCATTCATCTGTTGTCTTACCTAACTTTTTCTCTTCCTGCAGGATAATACAACAGCTCTTTGCAGGGTTCTTTGCAAATTCTGCACTTCCTAGATCTCCACATCCTTTGTCCTGGTAAGTAGCTAATTGCCTTCTATCTTACTCTGCTATAGTAGCATCATTTTAGGTATTGTAGTTTTTTTGTCACATGCTCTGATACGAAGAACTGCAGAGGTGAATATGTAGATATAACTGGCAGTTTGTTAGACTGTGTTTATCTGCTGAGACATAAATTTAATCAGAATTTGTTTTTTATTGGTTAGCCATGGATGTCTGAGCACTGATAATCTGGTTCTGCTTATATTCTGGTCTGAGGGTTGTGTTAAGGTGAGAAATGAGATGGTCCTTGTCAGGCTTGGTATCTAATTTGTGGGTTTCCCCTCTAGATTATATAGGAAGAGATTACTTCTTAAAATTTCTAAACTTGAAAACAGATTACACTTACTCTTCACTTACCGACATGGGTAGGTTCCAAAGACCAGGTCATATGTGAAAACTGACATTATGGGAAAATGACGGATGATGACCACATCACCTCATCCCTTCACCTGGACTGTGAATGTCCCATTGAGCCCCTGCTGAGGTCACTTGCCACTTCTGTCTCTCCCTCTCCCACGTCTCCTCAGGAGAGCTAGGCCCACAGTGCTGCCCCTATCCATTGCCATGCTCCCTTCTTTTCTGCCTTCTCCATATTTTCAGGACGAGTGGCCAGAGCTCATTCACTCAGTGCCTTTGGTGGTTTTGTTAGGGGCAGGGACTTCCTTGTTCATGGGCAGAAGGGCATGGGTGCCACAAGAGAGGTGCGTGTTGCCCACTGGCCCCACTGCTGGTCCCTTGTCTGAGTATCCCCTGGCTCTTACTTAGCTGGCTCTAACCCCTTCTACCCACACGCCCCCATGAGAATTGGCTATCCAGAGCTTCCTCTGAGGCTGTGACATCAAGGCCTGGCCTCTGCCCTTGACCTTAAACCGTACCTGCCGATGGACACACATTCACCCTTTGACTGTACCCCTGCCTAGATAGTCTTCCTCTTCCTTACCTGTATCTGTTCAGGAGGGGACATTGAGAAACGTAAGGGGCTGTACAGGAGCTTATGTGGGGTCCTGAGACCTTTGGCACCTGAGTGCCCTGTCTCAGGGCTCCTTTTAATCACAGCCCCACTTGTCCTGGCAAGGAAGTGGAACCAGGCTAGGAGCTACCCTGACCAGCACCCCATAGTATTCCACTGTTTGGGAGTACCATCTCTGCCCTTCCAGGCAGTGAAATGCTATGCAATACAAGTTTACTTTCTACCTGTACATGGAATCTGCTAGTCAGGAACCCCATCAGGGACCCCAGCATTCGCTATGTTTATTGTTAATGTTCAAAATAGTGGAATAGTAGTTTTTTTGTTTGTTTGTTTTGTTTTTTTTTACTATTTTTGTAAATATGAAATGTTGGATAGCAAGATTGTTGCTAAGTGAGGAATGTTGTTGTTAAATTCTGTCAAGTCGGTTCTGACTTATAGTGACCCTATGTAGGGTTTCTGAGACTTTGTGTAAATCTTTGTGGGAGCAGAAAGCTTCATCTTTCTCCCTTGGAGCAGCTGGTGGGCTCAAACTGCCGACCTTTTTTACATTCCAGTGCTTATCCTATAGAACTGCCACATTCTCTAAGTGAAGAATTTTATTGTTGTTAAGTGCCATCAAGTTGGTTCTGACCCATAGCAGCCCTGCATATGGTTTCCGAGGAGCAGCTGGTGAGTTTGAACCACCAACCTTGTGGTTCAAAACTGACCTTGCTGTTGCATGCTTAGCCTACATACACACTTCCCTTTCCCAAAGTAAGGAGGCTTGTTAGAAGTAACAAGAGGCTATAATCCAGGATTATGTATGGTAAGGGGTTCATGATGGGATGTTCTCTTGTTTGGACAATTACCACTGCTGACACAGAAGACTTTTTTGCTCACAGGGACCTCAGTCCTTCACACAGTTACCCTGTTTTCCAACCTCTAGTCCTGGTGTGATGCTGTGGGTTAATGCACTGGACTGCAAAGTCTGTTTGAACAGCAAGGTTGATGGTTCAAGCTTACTAGTTCCTCCTTGGAAAACCTATACGGGGTCGCTATAGGTCAGAACTGACTCAACGGCACTTAACAACAACAACAGTTTATGAAAGAACTCCTGGTGTGGTGCTGCAGGTTAATGTGCTGGGCTTCAAAGTTGGTTTGAACTGCAAGGTTGACAGTTCAAGCTCACTAGTCATTCCTTGGAAACCGTTTACTGGGTTTCTAGGAGTTGGAACTGACTCAGCGGCACTTAACAACAACAACACTTTCTGAAAACATGTTCCAGCCAAAGACTTGGACCTCTGTCATTCACAGTAGCCACTAGCAGCTCCACAGAGAGATGCTGCCAGGTCCTTTTTGTAGTTGTTCTAAATTGTGATTCAGAGAGCCTGCTATGGCTGCTTCTCTACCTGAAAGTTCCTCATTGTCCTGGACCATAGACAGCCTTTTAGAATGAGAGACGTTTGCTGTAGATTTTGCTTAGTCATGAAAGGAAAACGCTCCTTAAAAAGTAGCTCCATTTATCATTCCCATTTCCTCTGTACATGGGGTTGATAGGGATGGGCAGCTTAGACATTGGCTACCTAAAATGGGACGGGGAGGGCTATAAAGGCACGAAGTGACTGGCTTACAAGTTTTCAAGAGGGAGTTGTTTCAGAGTGTGTAGGGGAAGGTAGAATTCCCACTGACTAGTTTTCATCTTGTCTAGATGGGTCCGGTGAAAGGAGATGGGGTTAAGATTCAGTAGTGAGTAATTGTTATCATGACTAATTGCGAGTATCACAACTGTAAATATAGAAGTTTTATAACAAAAAGGAGGAAGTAGTTAATCTTACAATTCAGGAACAGAGGACTCTAGGATTATCAAGGAAGAAGAGCAAGGGCAGAATGTGGGATCCTATCCAGGGAAGCAGCGACACCAGAGATGGAGGTAGAGATGATGACATAGAGAGATAGAGCAGCTGAGGACTCTAGACTCATGGAAAGAGAAAGGCTGTGTGCTGGCAGGCTTACAGAATGTGCCCTTTGGTTGTTTAAATGATTATATATCCCTGAGTGTTTTTGTGTACATCAAAACAAAAACAAAAACAAAAACACAACAACCCAGAGGGAATAGAAGCAAATACTGTTGAATTATGATGCATGGAGGGAATTGTAATCATTGCAATGAAATGAAATATGATAGGATAAGTACAAAACTGATGTTCTCCCATGTAAACTATCACTCAATTCACTATAAAAACTTGAAAGAAAAAAAAAAAAAGTAGCTCTATTTATATTTAATGTTAAGTGGTCACAGAAAAGACAAACTTTTCTTAACCAACAGACAAGGAGTCGCTCTTTTTGTTCTTGTCTATCTTGTGGTACTTTTGGTAACTTCATATTTTATGTTCTATCCAGTGAAGTAAAAAGTATGCGAGAATGAAAGACTCTCTCTGAATAATCTGTTTGAGTTTATAGAGACAAAGAAACTTTTGCCACTTGACTCGAGAGGACTAGTGACTTTGCATTTGTGAGAGAGTGCAAGATTCCTCTTACCAAGTTTTTCTGTGGTCATTGTCTTAACACTGTCTCATATCCTGTGTAGGTATGGAATGTTGCACTCCAACCCTGAAGACTATGCCTGGGGTCAGACAGAGCTGGATGCCATTGTAACCCAGGTGAGGTGCTCCCTTTGGAGGGTGTCTGTGAAATGGCAATCACTCTGCTTTCTCTAGTATGTTGAGCTGTGGGCTTCATTTTACTAAAGGGATCAATGGTTTGGGGATTTAACTCAACATCCTAGCGGCTTTCTAGAAGATGATTTCACTGCCACAGGAAAAGAAGACTTCTTCCGTGACAAACTGTGTATTATAATTTGGCATGTTGTTCAGCCCTGTGAGAATCTTACTGGCAAGTACACCGTGAAAAAAGAGGGACTCCCCAGATGTTGCAGGAGGCATTTCTGTTAGAGCAAAGCAGGGGAAGGAAGCAGAGGAGGTATTCCTATGCCAAGTATAATTGCTTCCACTTGTTTATGTTTAATTTGATTGGTTTTCATTTCCCTGTGGGTTGATGAGAACAGACACATGTTATTTATAGCTGTCATCTTATAGTCAGTAATTTCCCTCTGATTTTTGGCTTACTGTAGTCACTTTGAGGACTAAGGTTTGCCTGCCCCGAGTCATGGTTTTTTCAATCATCTCATATGCATGTGAAAGCTGAACAGTGAATAAGGAAGACTAAAGAATTGATGCCTTTGAGTTATGGTATTGGTGAAGAATACTGAATATATCATAGATGGCCAGAAGATCAAGAAGCTGTATTGGTGCAGTGAATTAAGCATTTGGCGGCTAACTGCAAGGTCAGTGTTTCAGACCCACCCCCTTTCTATGGGGAAAAGATGAGGCTGTCTTCTCCCATAAAGATTCACAGTCTTAAAAACCCTAAGGAGCAGTTCTAATCTATTCTATAGGGTCACTGTGAGTTGAAATCGACATGCTGGCAATGGGTTGGGCCAGAAGAATTAACAAATCTGTGTTGGAAGAAGTACAGCCAGAATGTGCCTTAGAAGTGAAAATGGTGCAACTTCATCTCAGGCACTTCGGACATGTTATCAGGAGGAACCAGTCCCTGGAGAGGAACATCATGTTTGGTAAAGTAAAAGGTCAGTGAGAAAGAAGAAGAACCTCAACAAGATGTGTTGACATAGCAGCTACACCAGTGGGCTCCAACAGTATAGCAGTGATTGTGAGGATGGCCCAAGACCATGTAGTGTTTTGTTGTATTGTTCATGGGGTTCTGTAGGTCAAGGCTGGCTTGAGTACACCTAACAACATCCTGTTTTACGTACTCCCATCCTTTTCTCCCTTCCTTCCAGCAGAGTGACATTTCTGGACTGGTTAAATAGTACTTTTCAATTAAGCTGTAGTTTCATTCATGACATCACAATCTGTTTGTTGCCACTGAAGTTGCTTTATATTCAAAGGTGGGCCTTGATGGTTTTTTCTGTAGACTTATACTGATTTCACTCTGAAATTATAAAGTAATTATTAGTGTTCTGGCAGCAGGAAAAGGGAAACCCAAGCCTTTCAGAACTTTGCATACATAAGAGTAACTAGCATTTCTAATATCTCCTTTATTTGTTCTCAGCTGGAACAGCTCCCTCCCCAAGGATGCTGAGGTGTTTGCTATGTGCTGTCATCTTCATCAGCTTCTTCTTTTCTTTTTGGTAGCTTTTAGGACAACTGGAAAACACAGGGCCTCCCCCAGCTGATCAGGAAATGATCACATCTCTTCCAACAGTGACAGTAACTCAGGAACAAGTTGGTAGGTTCATTTTCATATGTAATATTTTGTTTCCTGTCACCTTCTGATCTCTGTTCAAAGTCCCAACACTTTCCTATACTAAAGATTTTCAGTTGAAATTCCTACCTGGGTACCAAAATCATTGGGTTAGTCTGTTTTCTAAGCAGTTAATCCTGTTTCTTTTCTAGGTACCATAGCAAATAAAGAAGACTAAGATATTTAAGCAGGCTTCAAAAAGTTCATAGAAAAATTCCATTATCTTTAATTCAATTTTTCTATGGACTTTCGAAGCCCCCTTGTATAAGGAACTAATTAAGTTAAGGGAAACAAAACTTATCAAACAGACAACAATGTAAGAAGTGGTATTGAGCAGGTGATCCTGACTTTAGGGTATGAGGAAAGGGAAAAATGGGAGGCTAGAAATGTGTTGCATATTTACCATGTGACAGGCACACTTGGATATATCAGACATAGATATTTTCTCATTTGTCAGAACTGAAGAATTTAGTGGTAATGGGCAGTGCTTTGGACTGAAGATTTCTTTCCCCACAAATTCAGGTTTAGAGTCAGAGAAGATTTTAAAGACAAGATGAGCTATTTAAGGGAAGGTATGAACCAGTATAAGATTATCAGCATGGACATGGTGTCTGAGTTTGGTTTAAGGAGACTTAGAATTGAAGACATTATTAGAAAAGACTTTTGTTTGGGGAGTAGTGAGAAGTATGACAAAGGAGCCTTGGTGGTATAATGGTTAAAACACTCAGCTGTGAATCAAAAGGCCAGCAGTTTAAACCCAACCACTTGCTCCAAGGGGGAAAGATGTGATAGTCTGCTTCCATAAAGATTACAGTTTTGGGAACCTTGCTCTGTACTGTCAGGTCCTATGAGTTGGAATCAGTTTGACAGCAGCCAGCTTGGCATTTTTTTTAGGGGATGGGGTGAGTGGGAGGACAGTATAAATAGATAGGAAGGGTGGGGTCTTATTATAGAGGATTCATAAGTGACAGAGAAGTTAGAACTGGATATTTTCGTAGCAGTGGAGTTTGGGAGTTTTGTAGGTCCTCAGATGGCGGAATGAGGAGATTTAACTGGTCTTTAGAAATAATTAGTCTGGAGGCAGTGCATGAACTGGGTTGGCAAGGGGAGGGCAGAAGTAAGGGTCTAGAGAGACCTATTGCAGCAGCTCAGGCAGAGATCAAGTTATAGTACTAGCAGAAAGCCAAAGTGGTTCAGCAGACCTTTTTGAAGAAAGTCTTTTATCTCTGATTACATAATGAAATGAAGAGAGGGAGAAGGTCAAAACTGATCCTAAGATTTTACAACTGTGCAACAACAAAGGTGGTACTACTGTCAGCTGCTTACGAGTTTCCACTCCATGAGTGAGTTGTGACTAGGCCATGCCTGTTTTGGGTGGGGAAGTGGTGGAGTGTTTTTCATTTTTAACTGGTTGGTTTTGAGATGATAGCTGAGAGTTTAAGGGAAGATGAGCTGGAGGTTACTATAAAACTGACATAAGAGGAAATTAGTAGGCAGTAAGGAACAAATCAAGGAGCTCTAGTAGCATAGTGGTTACAAATTGGGTTGCTAACCTCAAAGTCGGCAGTTCGCAAGTACCAGTTGTTCGCGGGAGAAAGATGAGGCTTTCTGTTCCCATAAAGATTTGCAGCCTCAGAAACCCTGTGTAGGGTCACTATGAGTTGGAACTGACTCCACGGTACTTAACAACAACAATGAACAAATCTGTCTACGAAGTGCAGCCAGTGTGTCTTAGAAGCAAAGATGACTAGACTTTGTCTCATGTTCTTTGGACACGTTATCAGGAGAGGTCAGCCTCTGGAGAAAGACATCATGCTTGGTAAAGTCAAGGGTCAGTGAAAAAGAGGAATACCTCCAAGGAGATGATGGACAGAATGACTGCAGTAACGGGGCTTAAACATAGCAATGATTGTGAGGGTGTGCGGAGTGGGCAGTGTTTCAGTCTGTTGTACACTGGGTCACTGTTACTCAGAACTGACATGAAGGCACCCAACAACAACAGCAAAGTATAGGCTGTCTCTGGAGGGTTGACTGCCTGGAGTCAGCGAAACTACTTGGGCGGCCATTGCAGTCGAGTAGGCATGAGAAGTGAAGCTAGAATTAAGGGTGAAGGTAGTAGGAGTGGAGAGGAAAGAATGAATCACATCTTCCAAGCGCCTTGAGCTCTGTGGAGAATGAAGCTGCTCCCGTCATTAGGAAGAGAGACTTGCAGATATTATTAGCTAAACTTGAGAAACTCAGAACTTGCTGCTTGGTACTCTCAGTATAGAGAGAGTGTGGCCATTTCCTCTCGAAGAAGGCTTCCTGTCTTTAGACCTGGAACCTGGGCTTTGCTGTTCTGCAGCACCACCTCCTGGTACAGCTTTTTTTTTTTTTTTTTTTTTAATTAAATGTTTTTATTTTGGATTGAGTGAAAGTTCACAGGGCACATCATCAGCTTCACATTCAACTATTCATATAGCATGTTTCATTACATTGATTATTATCCCCTCCATATATCATCAGTTAACAGTGTTTCTCTCTATCCTCTTTAGGTTTTTTTTTTTTTTTTTTTTTTTTGGATGGGGGGTCCTGGTACAGCTTTTAATTAACTTGTGCAGAATGTCCAACCCATGCTCAAAAAGAACAAGTAATGTGGAAAAGAGTAGGGTAAAAGTGGTTTGAGACACTGAGTGGGAACTAGTAAGACTGCTGAAAAGAGTCCCTTGGTTGTGGTTGACAGGCTTCTCAGATTGACATGGACTTTCAGAGGCAAAATTTGGTAAAATTATTTTCCTGGTTTACTTATGTAATAATCTAAGCCCGATTTATTTCTTCTATCATTAAATGAAAAACTAAACCTTATATAGTTCCTATGTAGACCTCGTTCATCATTCCTCCTTTATATATACTGCTGTGTACCACCTTCCCCACCCCCATTTTATCTGTCATTTACTTGGATGCACTGCTTTTCTCATCTTTTTTCTTTATGTAATTACTGGACCATTATAGACATTGGGTTTTTTTTTTGTTTGTTTGTTTGTTTCCTTCTCTTGTTTACTTTAACAGGCATTTTGTCTTCCAACAGATATGGGTTTAGAGTGTCCAGTATGCAAAGAAGATTACACAGTGGAGGAGGAGGTCCGGCAGTTGCCCTGCAACCACTTTTTTCATAGCAGTTGTATTGTGCCATGGTTAGAACTGGTGAGTAGCCAGCTGTCACCTGGGAGGGGGCATCTATACCAGTCACATCTTCCTAGGGAGTGGTTCAGACAGAGGAAGGGTATATAACCAACCACATCAGATTGTAGTCTCATAAACCCCTGGCTAACTCCTGTTATAGTTGCTAAGTACCGTCTAGTGGGTTCTGACTCATAGCGGCCTTGTATAGGGTTTCTGAGGAGCGACTGATGGGTTTTAACTTTTTCGTTAGCAGCTTAGTGCTTATCCTACAGTGCTATTACCAACATTATTGTATTTTCAGACTACTATGTATTTGCATCCTCTCTGTCTCTAGGCCAGGAGTGGCAAACTATAGCCTGTGACTCAACTCTGCCACCTCTATTTGCTTTATGGGAACACACACTAAACCAAACCTGTTGCCATCGAGTCAGTTCCAAGTCATGGCAACCCCATGTAGGGTTTTCTTGGCTTTAATTTTTATGGAATCAGAACACTGAGCCTTTCTTCCACAGCCCCAACTGGTTTTATATCACTAACATTTTTAATAATAACCAACCATAAACCATTTAAATCCCCAGGGTCCTTGTTGGAACACAGCTATGCTTATTTATTTGCAAATTGCCTATGGCTGTTTTTGTGCTACATTGGCATCGTTGTAACAGAGACAGTATGGTTCACAAAGCCTAAAATACTCAATATCTGTCCCTTGATAGAAACTGTTTGTTAACACCTGTTCTAGACTGTGTTGCAAGTGGTGGACAGCTACCCTCTTTCATTATTCAAGGTCACAGTTTCTTGTTTGTTCAGTTTGGTGGTATGTGTTAGCTATAGTTAGGTTGCTAACCTAGAACTTAAAGTCCCAGTTTGAGATGTCCTGATGACCCATGCTGGAGCCCAGTGTGCATTGCATCAGAATACATGCCCCTTTACTTTCGTAGTTGCCAAGTCATAGTTTTTGATGTAACCCCAATTTCTTAGGTTAGGCTGTTCACAGGGACTAATATCTTTCTTTTTCAGCATGATACATGTCCTGTATGTAGGATGAGCTTAAATGGTGAGGACTCTACTCAACAAACCCAGAGCTCGGAGGCCTCTGCAAGCAACAGATTTAGCAGTGACCGATGGACTTTCTGAAACTAACAGCCACACCTAAGACAGGGTTGTGGTAATCTTAATGTCACAGTTATAAATTGTATCCAAACTAAACAAAATAGGTGGATTTAGGAATCTCGTAAGAAACTCTAACCCATAATATAAATGCAATGAGTGTTTTTCCTCTTCAAATTTAAAGCTAGTATCTACAGGTGGAATTGTATAACAACCAAATGCCTCTTATTCCTGAATTCAGAGTGGTAATTTTGTAAGTGTGAAACTTAATTATGAGGTTTCCTGCCCCCTCAAGAACAGTATCAGTTCCTTGAAGTCTAGTTAGGGTCCTGCTGTCATGCTGCCCTGTGATAGGGGTTTCAGCCTCCTTCTCCAATCTCCAACCTACCATTAGTATATTTTATAGTAAATACAGTGGAATCAGAACCAAAATGTTCTACTTTTGTCTTAATTGTGCAAACATAGTTCTCTTGGCCACATTAGCCATGAGATGAAGTCACATTAATTCCAAAATCTAAGACTTCATGATTTTGATTTGTTTTGATCCTCAAGGAGCAGATCAAAGAAAAATTAAAAGTTGGAAGGAGAAAGTGGCTTATCATTGTACTCTTTGGTTTGCTCATTTTAATTTTAAAAAACTATTTTAGGAGCTGCAGTTTCCTCAAAAACCAACATGATATGTCTTAAGAGTCTAATGTGGTTGAAACCTCATTCTGGTCCCTTTTTGGGAATGAACTGGGCAAGATGCAGGCACAGTGGGACAATTGTTTGAAATATTCGTTTTTTTCGTCTTCTTTTTTTTTTTTTTTGTAATGACCCTGTCCTGTCTTCTGACCTGTGAACCTTAAAATAAATTCCCTCAAATTAAAGGCATCCAAATGGGAAAAAAGGAAGTAAAACTCTCCCTATTTGCAGACGATATGATCCTATATGTAGAAAACTCCAAAGCCTCAGTAAGAAGGCTACTAGACCTCATTGGAAGATTCAGCAAAGTGGCAGGATATAAGATCAACATACAAAAATCAGTTGGATTTCTCTATACCAAAAACGACAGCATTAAAAAGGACATTAGAAAAGCAATACCATTTACAATAGCCACCCAAAGGATGAAATATCTAGAGAAACAAAGGACTTGTACAAAGAAAAACCAGAGAAACAAAGGACTTATACAAAGAAAACTACAAAACACTACTACAAGAAACCAAAAGAGACTTACAAAATTGAAGAATGTACCATGTTCCTGGATAGGAAGACTTAACATTGTGCAAATGTCAATACTGCCCAAAGCAATTTATACATATAATGCAATCCCAATCCAAATCCCAACGACATTCTTCAAAGAGATGGGAAAAACAATTACAAACTTTATATGGAAAGGGAAGAAACTCAGGATAAGCAAAGCACTGCTTAAGAAGAAGAATAAGGTTGGAGACCTGTCACTTTCCGACTTCAAAATTTACTACATGGCTACACTGGTCAAAACAGCTTGGTACTGGTACAATGAAAGATACATAGATCAAGGGAACAGAATCAAGAATCCAGAAATTAACGCATCTATATATAGCCAACTGATTTTTGACAAAACACCTAAACATATCGCATGGGGAGGTGATAGTCTTTTGAACAGATGGTGCAGGCAGAACTGGAAAACGATATGCAAAAGATTGAAACAAGATCTTCACCTCACACCTTATACAAAAACCAACTCAACATGGATTAAGGAC